GCTACAGATTTGGCAATTGCTTGAACTCAGCCCTAGATTAGAATGTTTGTGCTCCGTTATTTTCGCACACTGCCAAAATTTGCTGACAACACCAGGAGGAAAAAGAGGGAAAGGAAAATGGGTGATTTTCAACAGTTTATAACTCAGCTCAGCCTAAGCAGGTTTTTATGGGACAAAGAACAGAGATTTCTCTGTAGACAGCACTTTATTCCTGCCTAATTTAAARGATTTGCTGTGAATGATGGAAACATTAGAACTTCTCAAAGAAAACAAAACAAAAATCCTTGCTTTTCACTAAGGCTGTTKTTTTCTTTTACAGAAGATCACCTTTGGTGATAAAGATATAGAGAACATTATCTGCCTTTCTCAGAATTGTTTAGAACAAAAGTAGGTGTTGGCTTTTTTTTTTTTTTTTTAAGAAAACAAAAATATTAGATTTAAAGAAACAGAAGTTGAAAATACACAGCATATTTTAAGGACCACAATGTACTCCTTGGAGTAGTTCACATTTCTTGTATTCTTTATAGTGACACAGGAATCCCTAAAGAGTGTTAAATGAACTTCTCGGGGTTATAAGAGTCAGCAGAAAACGGAAGTTCTACTCTAAGCAGCAATATTTTAAATATATATTATCACTAACATACCATCACATAGGAGTAGCTTTCTGGAATCCTCCTGCTGATTTAATGTTTCCATCCACGCATAAAATCTCTCAAAGCAGCATTTCCTAAACTAATTTTTTTGCTTGCTTCCTTCACTTCACCTCATTCACTGACTCTAGTGCCTGTTCTCAAAACGACACCTCCTTCAACTGCAGAATTCACCCACTGCTGTACCTGAGCACCTTTAGCTTCTCAGGGAAACATGCCCTAAAATATGGGGGGCAAGATTGCTTCCCTGTATCTCTGAGCAATACCTGTATGATATGTTTCATTTAAGGATTTCAAAACCAGCAGAACTGTTTTGCAAAATTGACTGCTCACTCAATTACTGTTATGCCAGAGTTGAAATAGTAGAAAAAGCTTAAATGCTATTAGAAATCTCTACAAAACTGCAAAACTGAGAAGACTGCTTTTCTAAAAACAAGGGCTGGGAAGACAGAGTAGCAAAGAACAGACTGGAATTTCTGCATATTTATGTTAAGATATTTAACTGCCTGGGAGTCATCAGCAGAGACCTTTCTGCAACAGAACTTCATGGTCAGGGTGAGTTTTTGAAGTTTGGATGCCTTTGGCAGCTTCATAGAATTTTAAGACAGACCAGCTATGTCTAAAACATGTTCAGCCAGTTAAGCACACAAATTTAATGCTTTTTCCATCTTTCTGTCCATGTGCTGACAGCATTACTGTTCTCTCCAATGTTCTTCTTCCTTCTGAGGTACAATGGATCTACCAGTTTATGTAGTTCCTGATACTAAATTTTCAGCACAATAACTTTCCAACAATAACTTAGTAAGCTAAGGGAGGTCATCATTTAAAAGACATGAGYAGTTGTATTAAAGGCTCTGGATCTACACAACCTCAAATACATTTCGGGATATATTGTACAATACGTATATATTTTAATGAGAAGGTTTGGCAGAGCAGTTTGGCTGAAGAAAGGGCTGCCAAGTGATTGGATATGGATAGATCTCCAGTTCCTCTGGAGTCTCACATCACCTTAAGAGTTATTCTTCCCATCCTCCAGTGCACCAGCTCTCAAGGCAGTCAAATTTATAGCTCAATAAAAACTTTATTAAAAATAAGAAGTGTGGTTTTTAAGTACTGCAGTCTTCCAGCGTCTTTATGCCAGGTCTAGATCACACTGTAGTAGCTGAACATGAAGCTAGGGAGGCTTGGCCCACTCTACACTGCACTCCTAACTTAGTTTCAAGATCTAAGCCATCTCTCTTTCCATTTTGTAACAGCTGTTTTTCTACCCTTCTATTAAGAAAAAAAAAAAAAAAAAAGGAAAGAGGTAATGTAGAAAAGTTAAATAAATAAATAATGGCTCACAAAACCACAGTGGAGGAACCAGTGCTGGCCCTGCCAATATAAATGTTCCTTCTCTTCAGGGCTGGCTAAACAACTGAAAGTGTTTCTAATGAACTGCTGGCAGCACTATCCATCACTGCACTAAATGGATTCATGTCTCCCTAAACTAAGGGTAACTATTTATCTATAATGCACAGTCAGAAATTAGGAAGTATTTAAGCCTTATAAGTCTAATTCCTCACTTTTCCCCGCCACCTTAAAGCTTAGTTTTACTTAGGTCTCCTTATACAAAGACGACAAGAGAAGTCTGACTGATAGAGAAGTTCATACTCAGTTGCAGCTAATCATTCACATGAGTTGTAAAAATACTTTAACAGGCCAAGCAGACAGCTACAGTCTGATTTCAGTAATTACAATTTTCTGGCAAGGTGTTCATCTTTCGCTCCCCTTCCTTTCACCATTTGTTACACTTAATTGTGCCTTACCTCAAAGTAGACTGATTATAAGCTGCTTGAGGTAAGATGGCACTTCCATAAAACAAAAAAAAATGGGGTCCCTATAATTATCTAGAATCTTTTAAGGTGCTATTGTGCAAATAATACAAATCTACAAGAATATTGATGGAAAGACAAAGAAAGCAATATTCATACTGTGATTTTCTTTATATCATCAGGGAACAGAGAAAACATAGCCATAAATGACGGAAGCAAATACTCACTTCATCTCTAGAACCTCCTCCAAATGTTTCCTTCTCTCTGCTCGCAGGTTGGTCAAATGGGTTTCTTTCTCCGCCAACGACTGTTGTGTGGAGGACAGTTTTGCCTTCATTGACTCCAGCTCTTGCTTAACCTTCTCCATGGCCATCATCAGCTCTTCTACCTAAACATTTTTGGGGCAAGCAAGAGTAGACAAAAAAAAGTATAATGTGATCAAGAGTAAAWGTCATGAATCCAAAGGTTACCAATGCAAGTGCACTGTGTGATGCTTTTGGGGACTAGAAGAACCATCTACTGCTCTGTAAAGTCATCTGCACTTGAATGRAATAATATTATAGTCTGTTAATTAATGTGATCTTGTCTCTGGAAATTTATTATTATAATATCAAATTTATTATAATTACAAAGCTTTAACTTTTAGATCATTTCTATTTTAGAAAATCTACCATCAAGATAAATAGATAACTAAAACTAGATCAGTAAAATGCTAGAAATGCTGGAATAAATCTGTAATATATTTTGTGATATACAAAAAGTATAAAAGACTTTGTCTGTAAACAATCTCTAGAAAACTATGTATGTACTTTGAAAATGAAGTTACAACTGTCTTCTAAAAAAGGGACAGGATTCGGTCCCCCAAAAGATGTAAATAAGTCTACTCTTCCCCAAAAAAACTGACAAACAATGCTTAGAGATACATTTTGTGATTTAGTTGAAATTTTAGATAAAAGATATTCAAAGACAAACAACAGCCAGGTGGAAAAGAACAGTGCTCATATCTTAGACAATTTCAAATGGGGAAGTTCAGAATCAACAAGACTGAAAATTCTAGCAGCATTATTGCACAGATATACCTAGTCATATTTTAATCTGCTGAAGCAGAGAGTTCCGTGTTGGTTACAATAAAGAATACAWACAATATAAAATACAATAAATATTCAAATATTACTCTATCTAGCAAAAAAAAACTCTGTATACCCTTTCCATAATTTTATAATAATGTTAATTAGCGTGCACACACTACTTTCACAAACTTCCAACATCAAGATTTTCTCTTTCAAGCAAGCCAAATGTTCTTAAATAGGAAAAACCTAGACATTATTACTGAGCATGGTCAACATTACAACCCTTTACTGCATTTATATCCATGCCTAACCATTAACTTGTGCTTCATTCTGAAAGTTCAGTTATTACATTAAGTTCWAATTATACTAAGCAATATTCATCATTATATCTGTTTACAAGGAGAGTTGTGTATGTCACTTACTGTACGGGTGCTGGAAGATGCCAAGTATGGAATATACCACTACTTGCTTTAATATATTATATACTCCTAAAGGTAGAGCTCAGGACCCGCATGACACAAAATTGTTTTTTCCATCCTCATGCACTTGCAGAGCAAGAAATATCGCAAATAGAATTAGTATGTTCATAAAATGTAGCATAGACACTGTACAGTGCTTACTCCAGAATGTGTATGTACTTCCACTCAAATGTAGCTGACAAKAATTCCAACAAACTAAGAAAAATAAAAAAATGAAAATATCAAAACTATTCAAAGTGTTCAACAATCAAGTGACTAATGGGGAATTTCAATGTTCCATAGTTCAAATCAGCTAGCATACCTAAAATAATTGAGCTTTTTCAGTCTTGATAGTTATTTTGTGGGCAAAACAAGCCCAAAAACTCTGTCAATTTTGCAAATTTTTGCAAGTATTTCTTGAAAAAGAAAAACAGCAACTCAAAGGGGAAACAAAGGCATACCAGTATATCAGCTTTTACTTCCGTTAAACATTTCCCTTTTAGCTGAGGAAAAAAAAGGGGCTTGTCAGCTGCAAAACCCTCTGCTTATTACAAAAAACAACCTCAACCAAACATGTCTCCAGCCAAGGGCAACAATCAAAACAGTTTGTGTCAATCTGTCACTTGCCAAGATAAAACAGAATTTGGAGCAACAAGCTTTTCCATAATGAAGCTGGAAAGGTTTTTGACATCCATCATTCCATTCCCAGTCAATAATCAAAATCTGCAATACTAACACGAACACTTCATGCAGATCTGAAGCCGAACAACTGTGGAATGTTAACACCACATGATGATGCTACTGGCTGATACCTAGACAGAGACTGTTAGCCTCGGTGGCAAGATCCAGCTCTGCAGGAAAGGCTTATATTCGTTGGAGTACTGACCACTGCAGCCAGTTAATCTTTTTCTAATTGCTCTATTTGGCAATTCTTTTAATTCTAGGATTTTATTCCGTATTTTTGAAGGATAACAGAAAATTGATTTAATCATATATCAGGGATGGATGGAATGCAAGTGGTTTTTAAACTGTGCCAGCAACTTAGTTCACTGAACTACTGTTACCTTCCATTCTCCCTATACCAAGTACCATTTGCCATGATATTGGTTAAAAACAAAATTCAATGAAATGCTGATGAGTGTATTTATGATAAAGACTTTACGTTTTAGATTCATCAAGACACAGACATTCCTTTGAAAGCCTTTCAATTAAAGCCAAGATAAAACATTTCATGTATGCAACATATCAATCTTAGTGCAGACCTGTCTGCATATGTCCTAGTAAGCTGTCCTGGAAGAAACGATACAGGAATATTTCCAAACAGCTTGCTTACAATGCACATCTAACTTACCTATTCAAAATTAACCTTAAATATATGCTTGATCCTTTCACCCTATGAGTAGCTAATTATATAACAAAGAAAATATTATTTGCCAAGACCCATTTTTTTGAGACATAGAATCATAGAATGCCGAAGGTTGGAAGGGACCTCAGAGGTCATCGAGCATGCTGTTGACATATACATTTTAATTGTAGGTAAGCTTGTGTCCCATCAGTTAGATTTCCATTGGCCTAAACAGTGTATTCTTGCTCCTCTTTTCTCCCCAATCAGCTGATAAAACAGGAAGGAGAGTGTTTCTTCCATCACTTCAATATCTCTTATCACAGACCTCACAATTAGCCCAGTCAGTGAATTAGTTGGTGAACTATGGCACTACCTTTCACTCAAACATGGAGAAAATCACCCAGCAAATGCTGGAGCACTTAAATCACTTCCTAAAAACCTTAGAGGTAGAACATCTTTTTGAGGCAGGTATGGATGAAGCTTGAAAAGGCCATACTGCAGATGTATGGATCTGAAGCATTCCTCAGGCCTAACATCAATCGCTGGACAGCAGGTGAGGATGTAGCCACCACTCACTGTGACAAAAACAGTAGACCCCTTTCAACAATACGCACTAACAAATTACCCAGCTTCTGGAAGGTTTTATCTTTACAAAGGTTGGAAAAGGGTTCCTCTGACATCAGTGATGTAAATATCAGACCTAACCATATCAATGTGACATTCAGGAAAGAAAATAGAAGTCTGATTCAGCAGAGAAGGAATTTTAATACTTCCTTAGAGAGTATAACCCATCTGCCTAAAGGGAAACTGTATTCTTAAAGAAAAGTATCCAAGGAAGATTGGTCACAAGGATATAATTCTCCACATCCTCCTAGCACAGCAATGTCCACCAAGAACAGAAAAGTAGAAAGAAATTGGTACCTTAAACAGAGAATTCACCAGAATCAGCAGAATTAAGTTAGAATAATGCAGTAATGTAGTTCGGAGGCATCTCTGCAGGTCATTTGGCCCACTCCCTGCTCAAAGTAGGATCAACTTAGAGCAGGTTGCTCAGAGTCTTGCCCAGTGGACTTTTGGTGTATCTCCAAAAACGGAGACTCCCCAGCTTTGCTGAGCATCTGCTCCAATACTAGACTACACTGTGATGTTTTATCCCCTTTTGTCTTATCAGTGCTTCCCAGGTTGCAATTTGTGCCTGAGGCCTCCTGGCCTTTCACTAGCAACTTCTGAGAAGAATTTGGCTCTCAAAGACCTCAATACAGTCTCCCTCAGCTTCCTCTTCTTAGGTCGGGACATTCTTGCTGCCTCTCCATGTATTTCAGGTGCTCCAGCTTACAACATCTCTGCCTCTAAAGAGCACTCCTGCTTTCCAGCATTTTGGCCATTCCCCTATTTTGCTCTCATCTTCAAACTTGCGGAGCTGCACTGTGCCTCATCAAACAGATCATTGATAAAGATATGAAGCAGTATCAGCTCCGTACTGCTGAGGACAAAACTAGAAACTGGTCACTAAATGAACTTCATATCATGGATCAAGACTTGGTAGTTCCTATCCCAACCAGAAACAGGTTGTTAATAGGAGGATACACTTTAACTCTTAACAAAGTCTGAATCATGGACGCAAAAATACAGGACATTGCTGACAACTGAGCAAAGACACTGGCCATAGATGGCAGGCACACACTGGTCGAGTCTACCAACTGGAAAACTTACTACATATGCAAAGGCATACTTAAGAATTTTTGTATGATATCCTGGATAGTTTTCCATGGAGGAGAGGAAGAGCTTACAGAGAAATAATAAGAAGGTGGGCAAGAAATATAATGTTCCTAAGTTGGGATGGAACATGTGAGTTGATTTCTGAAATCAACTGGTCTAAGATGTGAAGATGTGAAGAAGAAGTCTAATGACCCATTACAGACAACCAAAGATGCATCTAGAACCAAAATTATCTCAGTCAGGCAGGTAAATTAGTATTAGCAGGGTCTTGCACTATCTTAGTTTTATCGTAAGTCTTGGAAGTAAGGCAAAGTATCAAGAAGAGAGCTCAATTATAATATCAGCAATGCATTTCTGAGAAAGACTCTGCACTCTTATCTGAACTCAAATGAAACCTATAGGAGTTCTTAGTGCATAAAACATTGATAAAACCAGAACCCAGACCGGGTTCTTTCTAACTCTAGAAAATACAGAATCTCATGCTGCCTGCTAGCAAGTTGGATGAAGCTGATAAAGGCATAATCACAAAAGAAGTGCTGCTGGCTATCACCTGAGTCCAAATTCCTGCCTGATGTGTTTATGCAGCATGCTGAGGACAAGCTACCTGTCATCACTTATGCATGATTCAAGCTCTCCACAGACAGGGCTGAAAGGTCTGCTGAAAAGTGTGTATTCTGAGCAGGATGGATCTGCAAGCAATATAAGAGAAAGCTACTTTTTCATGCGTTTTAGGGCCTGATTTGCCTGACCAGGATTCAGAGTGTGTCTTTAAGAAACAACATGAATTAGAAAAAGT